TGACGCTTCAGCATTTGAGGTGGCATGCTTAGGTGAAAAAAACAAACAAACAACAACAAAAAAAAAAAACCCTGCATCTGAGCAGGAAATCAGTGATTCTCTTTGAACATATATAGATACTTTGATTTCTATTCCTTAATTATTTACAAAATACTTCTTTGGCTTCAAGCATCCTGACATTTACATAATGACTCTATTAAAACCTTATTTTCTTTAATCCTATATCCATTAGAGGTAAGTCTTACCTTCAAAATACCTTCTATATCCTAAGGAAGGTAAATCAAATAGAAAAATTCTGGGGCTACAGGAAAAGCTCAGTGGTTAAAAGCACATACTGCTCTTGCAGAGCCCTGAGTTCAGTTCCTAGCACCCACATCAGGTGGCTTATAGCCACCTATACCTCCAGCTCCAACGGATCCAGGACCCTCTCCTTTATGGCCATCTGCACTCACACATACACAGACCTACTCACAGACATCCACACATATATAGAATTTTAAAACAATGAACTTTCAACTAGTAAATAAAATAAATTCCACAGAAAAGCTTTACATATTAGACTATTTCTAATGTTTTTATTGAAAATATATCCAATGAATCAAATTTTTAAAGAATTATGTGAGATATACATAAATATATAAACTGCATTATATAACTAACAAGTTGCTTTTTTCATATAAAATTAAATATACAAAGCTTGAGAACACTTTAAAACTTCCCAAACAGATTTGTTTTTATAAGCTTATTTACTTAAGGTCTCCATAACTTGGCTACTCAATATACAACTAGCAAATAATCTCGCCTAACATAAACAGTATACTTGATTATTTCACAATTAAAGCTGATTATACTGTTGGCCTCTAACAGTATAACAGTATAATCACTTTTCACAATGTTTGATATAGAACATTCTGTTGCTAAGCAGCATAGTCAAAAATGTTTACTTAGTGTGTGTGTGCGCGTGTGTGTGCGTGTGTGTGTGTAATTATGTCCTTTAGAGAAACTCTCTGCTCCATGCCATGTTCTTGTACTAAGACTGTCAGTGTGTGTGTGTGTGTGTGTGTGTGTGTGTGTGTGTGTGTGTAATTATGTCCTTTAGAGAAACCCTCTGCTCCATGCCATGTTCTTGTACTAAGACTGTCAATGGACCTCGGCAGGTGAGTAAACGTAGAATCATTATGTTCTTGCATACCAAGGCTAGTCTGAGGTTAGGCACAATGGAAGCATTAAAAAAAAGTAGGGGGGAAGGGTTCTGGATGTATATGGCACAGCCAGTGAAAGCACAGAGGTAATCAGACAGAGGCAGCCTGGATTTTAATTCTTGGCTCTTGTCACTAACTAGCTAAATGTTCAAGCACATCACTTAACCTTTTGTATCCTAATTTCCTCATCTCTTCAGTGTGGTTACTGGGGCTAGAGCACAGCTAAGTCAGTGAAGTGCTTGGTGTGAAAACATGAAGTCTTGAGTTTGGATCCTACCATCAAAGTGAAAGCTAGACACAGTGGTGCCCAACTGTGACCCCAGAGTGGTAGTAGAATCACATGGTTCCTCATGGGCTCTCTGGTCAACCAGTCTAGACAAAATACCCAGTTCCAAGTGCAGTAAGAGATAACCTCTCAAAAGATAAGGTGCAGAGTGATAAAGGAAGGCAGCCGAGGTACTGGCCTCTAACACCCACACACAGACATGCAAAGGCAGGTGTGTGTGTATATATATACACCCACACATATACACACAAGAAAAACTATTTGCTAACCTACAATGAGAGAAATAGAGCCACTATCTTCAGTGGTGTAGCCACTGGTGAAACCCCATACATCAGTGCTTATTTCCCCACCCAACTCATGCAGATGTCCCTGGTTAAACCCAAAATATCACAAAATGAAACAAACAAACAAACAAAAAACACAAATTGGGGGACATTGTGGTGGCATCATAAGGTTAAGAGAAGGATAAGGTGAACTAGAGAGATGGCTCAGTGTTTAAGAGCACTGTCTGCTCTTCCAAAGGACCCGGGTTCAATTCCTAGCACCTATATGGCAGCTCACAACTGTCTATACCACCAATTCCAAGGGATTTGACACCTTCACATATAAAATAAAATTAAATAAATTACTAAGAGAGGGATAAGAAAATGGGAATGTGATCAGAATATATTATATACATGTATGAAATTGTTAAAGAATAATTTTAATTCCATCTTTAAGTAACATCAAAAATTAAATACTAAAGAATAAACTGGGAGCATGGGAGGGCTAATGAAATGGCTCAGTGGTTAATAGCACTTGTTGCTCTTGCAGAAGAACAAGGTTTAGTTTATAACACCCACACCAGGGATCTCACAATCATCTGAGAGTATAGTTCCAGAGCATCTAACAGCCTCTTCTAGCCTCTGCAGACACTACAGCAGAGCCTGCAGGCAAAATGATCATATACATAAAATAAAATAAATACATTTTTTAAAAAAAGAATCATAAACTTAGGCTGGCAAAATGGTTCAGAGGGTAAAGAGACTGTCACACAATCTTGCTGCCCTGAGTCAGATAGCAGCAAGCCACAGGGCAAGTCTCAAAAGTTGTCCTTAGATCTCCACATGTATACCATGGGCACACACACACCCAATGATAAAAATATTACAATTAATATAACAAAATAAAAATGTAAGACTTCCACACTACACTACCATTGCTGGAAGTAATTAAAGAACTAAATAAATGAAAAAGCATTTATGCCAATGTGCTTTAGAAGTTTAGAAGTTTAAAAGTGAACAAGCTTGCTCCTTTTTTCAAGATTGTTTGTCTATTCTGCATTCTTTATTGTCAAGGACTATATTACAACGAATGTACTTGATAGCTGCTGTTTAGAATTTGCTTTCTAGTGACCACTCAACCAACAGCACTGATAGCTGGCCATGGTGGCACATGCCTTTAAGCACAGCACTCAGGAAGCACAAGTAAGCAGGTATCTGTAAACTGATACTTTACCACTAAGATGACAAATTGCTCTACAGAGCCAATATAATCATTTTAAATATATTGTTTGTTAAATATTAATATGATAATCCCTATGAAAACTAAGAAAATAGAAAAATCAAAAGAACCTTGAAAAAGGAAGAAGCTTCATTTCCTAAGTTCAAACTTACTACAAAATTATCAAAACTGTGGTTTTGGCTTAAAGAGAGATACCTAGATCAACAGAAAAGAACTTAAGTCCAGAAATAAAACTTTCTGTCAATGATTAATTGATTTTTGACAAGGATGACAACACAATTCAGAACAATACTATTCTTAACAAATTAGCGCTGGAGAAACTCTAAATCCACATGTAGCAACAGCAGCCAAGATGGAGACCTTTCTCACATAGCATAAACTTAACTCAAAATAGATCAAAGGCATAAAGTCAAAGGCAAAACTGTTGGACAAAACACACAGTAATTTTCAATATGTTGTTTAGGCAATGGTTTGCTTAGATGTGGCACTAAAGTATAAACAGCAAAAGAAAAATTACACTGCACTCCATCCAAATTAAAACTCTGTGGTGACAGATATGGGATACTTAAACATGAGTTGTTCATCATGGATGCCACAGAGTCCAAAACAGTTTAATAAGCTATCACTCACAACAACTAGAAGGTAAGAGCCTATTGGATTGCAGGGCATAAAGAAATCAACCCAGAATTAAGCTGAAAGCTTACTCCTTACTGGATAGCATTCAGTGTCAAGAATACTAACTATTCAGGTGGCTGGAGAAGAAAAATCATTAACACTCATACACAATTATGACTCCAGATAACTACTACCAACTTGTCAGGCAAGATAGACTCACTAGACCAATAGTGGCACAGCTGTTTGGAAAGTAACTATATCTGGTTGGACTTTAATCTACTCCACTGGGGGAAAAAATTCACACTTGGTACTATAAACCTAGTCAAAAATACAGCGTATAGGAGGTCAGAAGCCCTAAGTCGTAACCAGCCATTGTTATTTTGGAAAAGTACATGGTGTCTAACTACCTTCTAAATATCTGTGTTTATAACCATAGATGGTACTGTACTTAATCTTGATTAGAGAAGCTTCTGTTTGTAGTGAGTAATGTGGAGGCTCATTAAAGTGGTCAAAGTGGTCAGAAAAATTAACCTCAGCCCTAAAGATGGCATCTATATTATCCTCTCCAAGACTCAACAGAAGGAGCAGACAGAATTAAGGAGTAATTAATGGCAAGGAATACTATTTAAATGACCGGGTGTGGTGCATGCCTTTGATCACAGCACTGAGAGACAGAGGCAGAGAGACCTCTGTTGAGTTTGAGGCTAGCACACTATACATAATGAGTTTCAGGAAAGCCAGGGCTACATAGAGAGACCCTGTCTCAAAAAAAAAAAAAAAAAAAAAAAAGCTAGCTTCTAGACAGGACAAAACTATTATATGCTCATGCAGGTAACCCTAATTAAATGTAAAACAATGAGAAATGAGAAAACAAAAAAAGAAAGAAAAGACATAAAAGCAGCAAAGAGACTTATTGGGGAAAAGATGAAATGCGGCTGAGAGAAGTAGATTAGAGAAAACATGGGAGCAGGGGAATTGCAATCATAGTACATGAGATACTAATATTTATAAAACTGTGAGAGAATAAATTAAAAGAACAGGAAAACACAAAATAAATTGTTAATGCATTAGAATTTACGAAAAATTCAACAGCAGCAAACTTGAGTCATGAACAAGAATATGATCAGTGAAATGGCTCAGCAAATGAAGGTGGTTGCTGCAAAGTCTGACAGCCCGAGTTTGGTCCCCAGACCCTATGTGATAAAGAGAACCGACTCATGAAAGCTGTTCTCTGATATGGCATGTGATAATGCATGCCATGACACGTATGCATATGGACACGCACACTTCCGTGCACATGCACACAAAGACACACAAATGTGAGTGTTAAAATGCACAGATAACTAACTATGGGATAAAACAGAGTAAGTCTACTAATAAAGGACGTGAATACTGTGCTCACTTCAGCAGCACATAGACTAAAATTGCAACAATACAGAGAAGATTGGCCCCTGAGCAAGGATGACAGTCAAATCTGTGAAGTGTTCCATATGTTGGGCAGTACAGCGCTAAACAGAGAACTCTCTGTAGAGATATCGAACGGCAGAGAAGCACTTAAAGAAATGTTCAACGTCTTAGCCATCAGGGAGATGCAAATCAAAATGATCCTGAGATTTCACCTTACACCCATCAGAATAGCTAAGATCAAAAGTGACAGATCAAACTCAAGTGACAGCACATGCTGGAGAGGATGTGGAGAAAGAAGAACCCTCCTCCATTGCTGGTGGGAATGTAAAGTTGTACAACCACTTTGGAAATCAATCTGGCGCTTTCTCAATTAGGAATAGTGCTACCTCAAGATCCAGCTATACCACTCTTAAGCATACAGCCAAAAGATACTCAAGTACACAACAAGGACATTTGCTCAATCATGTTCATAGCAGCTTTTTCGTAATAGCCAGAACCTGGAAACAACCCAGATGTCCCTCAACGGAGAAATGGATACAGAAATTGTGGTACATTTACACAATGGAATACTACTCAGCAATTTAAAACAAGGAAATCATGAAATTCGCAGGCAAATAGTGGGAACTAAAAAAAGATCATCCTGAGTGAGGTATCCCAGAAGCAGAAAGACACACATGGTATATACTCACTTATAAGTGGATATTAGACATTTAATATAGGATAAACATACTAAAATCTGTACACCTAAAGAAGCTAAGCAAGAAGGAGGATCCTGGATAAGATGATCAATCCTCACTCAGAAAGGCAAATGGGATAGACATCGGAAGAGAAAGAAAACATGGAACAGGACAGGAGCCTACCACAGATGGACTCTGAAAGATTCTACCCAGCAGGGTATCAAAGCAAATGCTGAGACTCATAGCCAAACTTTGGGCAGAGTGCAGGGAATCTTATGAAAGAAGGGGGAGATAGAAAGGCCAGGAGGGGACAGGAGTTCCACAAGGAGAACAACAGAACCAAAATATCTGGGCCCAGGGGTCTTTTCTGAGACTGATACTCAAATAAAGGACCCAGTGTCCAAGTGGGTTCCCTAGTAATGGGAACAGGGACTGTCTCTGACATGAACTCAGCTGGCTCTTTGATCACCCCCCCTGAGGTGGGGGGAAGGGCAGCCTTACCAGGCCACAGAGGAGGACAAAGCAGACTTGATAGGCTAGGATCAGATGAAAGGGAGAAGGACCTCCCCTATCAGTGGACTGGGGGAAGGGCATAGGGAAAGAAGAGGGAGGGAGGATAGAATTGGGAGAGGTCAAGGAAGAGGACCACAGCTGGGATACAAAGTGAATAAACTGTAATTAATAAAAAAATAATTTTTTAAAAGGATGTGAATACAAAACACATAACTCTCAAAGCTCAATAAGAAATAACTGCTGAGTTGTGCCTCCCACTGAATCTCTATCTTCCCATCAAAGCCCCTGGATCACTAGGGCCCATGTGCATCCTTTGGTCCACCTCTACATCACCAATACTGAAGTCTTTTAGGCTTGCTGCTATAAAAACTCAGTTCAATGGAAACTCCCAGGAATGTATGAGGGTGACCTTAGCTAAGACTCTAATAATGGGACATATGGAGCCTGACCCAGACATCTCCTGCAACAAGGCAAGAATTCTAGTAGAAGGACTGGGACACCAACCAAGCCACAAAATCTTCAAGCTACAGTTTGTCCTGACTACAAGAGTGCTGGAATAAAGATGGTACAGAAATTGTGGAAGGGGCCAAACAATGACTAGTGCAGCTTGAGACTCCTGCCACAAGGGAGCCCACCCCTGACCCTGCCTAGAGGGCCAAAAACAAGAGGTTGAATGGCCCAGAGCCCTAGGATAAAACCAAACACACTACAATGATCCCTAAGGCTACTTTACTATACTCGTAGGCTGGAACCCTTCATAACCATCATCAGAGAGGCTGCTTCCAAAAACTGACGGAAACAAACACAGAGACCCACAGCCAAATATTAGGAGGAGTTTTGGAACCCTTCAAAAGGCAGGAAGGTGGGGGATGAATTTTAAGAGCCAGAAATGGTCAAGGACACCACAAGAAAACCACACAATCAATTAAACAGGGCTCACAGGGGCTCCCAGCCTATATGGGTCTGACCTAAGTCCTCTGTGTATAAAGTTACAGTTGTATAGCTGGGTGCTCTTGTGGAACTCCTAACAGTGGGAGTTGAACTGCCTCTGACTCTTTCGCCTGTTTTTGAGAGCCTTTCCTCCCTACTAGGTTGACTTGTCCCTCTTTAACAGGAGGGGAGGTACCTAACCTTACTTGGTATGCCATGCTTGATTGATAGCCCTAGAAGGCCTGCCCTTTTCTGAAAGGAAACAGAGGAGTAGATCTGGGGCAGAGGAGAGCTGGGGATGAGGAGAACTAGGAGGAGAGGAATGGAAAACTGTAAACGTAAATAAAGAGAGAAGAATAAAAGGGAGAATACTTGACTCTCACTCCGAAGAGGAAATAATGCAGACATCTGAAGTAGATGGAGAGAGGGAACTATGTAGGAAATGGAGTGGGAAGAATAACAGGGGTGGAGATCAGGTGTAAGAAGAGCCAGGGGTGGGGGAGGGCTGGGAGAAAGAACAGAAATCAGTGGGGTGGGAGGCATTTCTGAAACAGGGGAGGCTCTATGTAGTCTATGGAGGTGACCCTGGCTGAGACTCCTGGTAGGGGAGGCAAAGGAGCTTGAAGTCATTACCTCCTATAGCCAAATGGAATGTCCAGTGAGGAAGGACACCAATCTACCCAAAAAAATCTTTGATCTAAAATTTGCCTTACCCACAAGAAGTATAGGGGATTAAGGTAGAGCAGAAATTGAGGGAATGGCAAACCAGAGATTGGCCCAACTTGAGACCCACCCCAACTCCTAACACTATTAATGATACTCTGCTCTGCTTGCAGACAGGAGCCTAGCATAACTGTCTTCTGACAGCCTTCATCCAGGAGCTGGTGGAAATAGATGCAGAGACCCACAGCCAAACAACAGGCTGAGTTTGGGGAGTTTTGTAGAAGAGTAGAAGGAAGGACAGAGGGAGCCAGAGGGGTCAAGGACACCACAAGAAGACCTACAGAGTAAACTAACCTGGGCCTATGGGGGCTCACAGAGACTGAACCACCAACCAAAGAGCTTGCATGGGCTGGACCTAGCCCCCTACACATTTGTAACAGATGTGCAGCTTGGTCAACATATGAGTCCCCCTAACAACTGGAGTAGGGCTGTCTCTGACTCTATTGACTGCCTCTGGATCCCTTTCTCCTATCTGGGCTGCCTTGCCAGGCCTCAGTGGGAAAGGATGTGCTTATTCCTACTGCGACTTGAGGTACCAAGGTGGGTTGGAACCCATGAGGGGACTACTCCTCTCTGAGAAGGCGGGGGGGGGATGGAAAGAAGGGGGCAGGAAGATAGAACTGGGAGGAGAGGAGGAACGGGGCTGGGATCTGGCTGTAAAGTGATTTAATAAATACATTTTTTAAAAGAGCAAATAAAAAAACTAATAAAAGTAAAAATAAAAAAATAAATGAAGCATCAGAATAGATGTTTCTCCCATTTGAAAATGGCCAATGAACAGATAAAAAGATGCTCAGTATCACTGGTTATGAAAGAAATGTGCATCAGAAACACAATGAGCTATCACTTCATATACATTAAGGTACAAATAATTAAAGAGAAAAGTAACAAGTGATAGGAAAAGGTAGAAGCTTATTTACAGCTTGATCTTATGGAGGCTTTCTTAACTGAGGTTCCATCCTCTCTGAGTCTAGCTTATGTCAATTGACATAAAAATAGCCAGCACACTCAGCAAGACAGGAATCAATCTACTTCAAGATCCAGATATACCACTGTGGTATATCTGAAAGAGAATGGCCCCTATAGGCTCACAGATGTGAATGCTTGGTCACCAGACAGTGGCATTCTTTGAAAAGATTCAGAAATGTGGCCTTATTGAAGGAAGGGTATCACGGGAGGGGGGGGGGGGGCTATGAGCTTTCAAAGGCCCAAGCCAGTCCCAGTGCCTTTCTCTGCCTGCTACCTACTAACTTCAGAACTGAATTTACTACTCTCTGCTACCATATCTGCCTGTGTGCCGCCAAGATCCCTCTCATGAGGATAACAGACTAAATCTCTGAAAGTGGAGCAAGCCCCAATTAAATGCTTTCTTATAAGAGTTGTCATGGTCATAGTTATCTCTTCATAGCAATAGAACACTGACTAAGACAGAAGTTAGTGCCGAAGAGTGGGGTATTGATGTGGCAGGCCTGACCATGAGGCTTGTTGGCAGAACGTGGACTTTGGAATTAAGAAAGCAGTTGAACACATTAAGTGTGGGTAATTAGGCCACACTAGTAGGAACATGGAAGACAGTGGTGCTGGGAACAATGTAGGTCTTGACAGCCAGCCTCAAGAGGTTCCAGAAGAGAATACTAGAGACCTTCTTGTGATATTTTAATAAAGAAAGTAGCTGCTTTCTGCCCTTGTCCAAAAACTCTGCCTGATGCTAATCTGCCTGATACTAAATTAAAGAGTTTTGGATTATTGGCATTGGCAGAGAATAATTCAAGACAGCCTGGTATTGACTCTGATAAGTGGTTAAAAGCAGTCACACTTATGCAGATCTATAATGAAAAGGGGCAAGCTGAGCAAGGAAAAGTACAAAATGTACACTCTGATAAGAAAAAGGAGCCCCAGGAAGTGTAACGGACCTAAGTCCAGTGCTCAAGGAGATAAAAGGTTTAAAGAAAAGCCTGATGCTAAATAGAATAAAGGTAGTGGTGACCTCAGGGCAAGACCTTACTCAGATAAGCTTCCAACCTTTGAAAAGGAATCAAATAAAAACTTAAGCAGTGAAGGAAACCATCCACAACAGAAGACTAGTGTTAATATAATTGAAAAAGGAAGCCAAGTTGCAGCTCCAGCAAGCAGCAGAGCTTTGGCAATTTCAACCACTTGATTCTGGCTTTTGAGTTAAGAATACAAAAAGGGATTGTGGAAATTGCCTCTATGGCTAAGGAAAGCTGCTGAGGTCTGGCATGGGT